GAGAGAGAGAGAGAGAGAAAATGTGTGTGTTTGCGTGTGTGTGTATGTGTGTATATGTGTGTGGGTGAATGTTGTGCGTCTGTTCGTGTATGAGTGTGTGTATGCGTGTGCGTGTGTATGTGTGTGTGTGTGTTTGTGTGTGTGTGTGCATGTGTGTATGTGTGTGTGTGTGTGTGTGTGTGTGTGTGTGTGTGTGTGTGCATTTGTTTATGCGTTAATGTATGAATGTATGTTTGAATCTTGTTGTTATTTTTTATGATTATTGCTGTTGTTCTTTCGTTGTTTTTGGTTTTTTAGGTTTGTTGTGTGGGTGAGGGACAATCATGGATTACATTATTGCTTTAACATTTATGTTTTTATTTCTATGGGAATACTAAAATAGCATATTCTAAACGAGAACATCATTGGAAAGTGCAGCCTGTTCTTTCATTATTTCTGTTGATGGGAAACAGATAACGTTCACAAGGTTTCAAAACTCTGAACAAGATCCACAACTCAAATAGTGCCTAATTAAGTCTTCTGTTCTTGAGTCAATTTATAAGTGTAAAAGAGAGTAAAGAAAAAAAAAGAGATGAGTTTTTCTTTTCCTTCATTTTAGTGTGGTAGGGGAAGGGGGGTACAAGATGACGAAAAATGCATAAAGTTTTAAATTGGCATGCTGCATGAGTGGGTAAAGCAAGGCTTTAACACAACGGTTGGATGAACACGTTAAAATTTTCAAGTTTCAAGTGTAATATGATACAGTACTTACGTATAAATTCACATATTAATATGATATATAAATGCTCCATAAACACAGACAAAACCAGCCGAGGATCCGGCCAAGCGACCACTGCCCCGGGGGTGAGCTGTGACGTCAGACAAGAAGAGTGCATAGATCCGTACCCGGTGACCTTCTGTGGGAAGAGCTTAGTGCCAGGTCGACAGAGGTCGATGACTGTGTCGGAAAAGGGCCGGTCCTTCGAGAAAGGTGAGATCTTCATGACTGTTTCCCTGGTGCATATCATTGTGTTGACTTTTGGGGAGCTAGAATGTACTGTTTTGGGCTGGAATGAGAGGCCGACCCAGAAAGATTTAGATGAAGGGTTCAGAGAAACATTAGTCAAGAACAGTAGAATCATACAACAAGCTGTACAACAAACACGGGAAGGAAGTTTGCTTCTTCCCTCGACACTACAAGGTAACAGAGGCAGGAAAAAGTGTAATAAAAAGAGAATGTACTTCTAACTAGTATCTATTACATCTTTGAAAGTTCAATCTGGCTGATAGGTTCGGTGGATTTTCGAAAGAAATGTGTGAAATTATCTTCTTCTTCTTCTATCCCGTGGTTGGGGCAACCGTTGGGGCACCGCTGCATCTGAAAACCAGCTCTCGCCATGTATTTTTGTCCTCTGTTTTCCTCAGATTTCCTGTCCACTCTGTAACGTTGTCCTCCCATCTCCTTCTCTGCCTTCCTCACTTTCTCTTTCCTTGTACAGTTCCTTGCAGGACAGTTTTGCGGCACTAAGTTTTGCCAAGTCCTGTTGATCTTGTGACATCTTGTGGGAAATTATAATATAAGCTTAATGTTCCTTGAAACATGGTAAGGTTATTTAAGAGGCTGGACACCTTTTTAACGTACATCTCCGAAAGTACCGTCTTGTACTTGTAATATAATCTGTTACGTTATTTCAAAGACAAAACTATGATGCATGGTTTACCTCCGACAGCTAAAAACACAGATGGGTGAGGCACTCTGAAACAATTACAATTCAGGAGAGCTACTCGTATGTTCAGATTCCAAATTGTTGTATATTATATAAAGCCCATGCTTAACTCTATGTTTGTTTTGTTTTGTTGTTGTTTTTTTGGGTAAGTGTTTTACGGCGCTCGCAACTGCAAAGGTCATATGAGCGCGCGGGACACACCTAATATTTTTCGTTGGTAGGAAATTTTTAATTTTGCCCGGGTGGCGGCCGAAGCCTACTCTTATCGATTTTAGACCACCAAGGGATCTTTAATGACCGCAACTTGCACACGGCCCTCCGAGATTTTTTGCCCTTGTCCGAGAAGGCTAGGTGTAGATCTTTCCTACCAGAAGCCCAGAGGAGGGGGCAAAGGAGGTGAGGCGGTGGGGGCAGAAAGTGGAAATGAAAGCAGACAACAGAACATTGCTAGAGAGCAGGAAAGGGGGTGAAAGGAGACCATTTTAGAGAAGTATTTTTTTCGGTCGCTACCCGGATTCGAACCCGGGACCTATGAATGAGAGACCAACACCTTAACCTCTAGGCCACGAGAGCCCCCAACTCGTAAGGGGAAAATACAAATCTACAAAAGACGTTTTTTCCGCACTGTACACGAATACTTAATTAAAACGAGCTGTAAAATATACGTATTTTTTCTCTTCCCCAGCCGGGGCGAGGTACGCCATGAGACGAGACCGCAGGGTCTCCAAAGAGTTTGAGGATCTGAACATGAACACTAGCACAGGGAAGCTTGCCATTCCCCCGCACCTCTTGTTGAGGCCGGGGTCAAGGTCGTCAAGGTTTGTAGTATCCTATGTTGTTGATTGGTTCGTCTTTGTTTTTGTGATGAGTGTCGTATTTGTAGGTGGTTTGTGAGTGTGTATGTGTGTGTGTGTGTGTGTGTGTGTGTGT